TCTGCCTAACAAAAGCAGGTAGTGCCTGACAAGCGCACTCCAGCATGGCCGGCATCCACGATGTTGATTCTATCCGCACTTCTACAGTTGTGCCTGTCGCAGGACGGTTCGATGCATCAGCTATGGGGGTGTTATTGGTGTTATTGGCTACTCTAGGTCTTCCTCCCGTTAGTCAAGACAGCTACTATTACCCCTCCGTCAATATGCTGTCCCGGCGCGTGGCTCTCATTCATGCGAAGCCGCATGCAAGTAAACCACCACCCGTCTGGCACGGATTCACCACTGGTGCTTGCTGGGGTCCCTTAGGGCACTCACATACTGTATTCTCCACGGGCTTTGCCATGCAGAACCGTCAAAAAGCTACCTGATACCCACACCCGAGGCGCTAGGGGCGTCGACAAATCTCTTGACACTTAGTACTATGGAAGCAGCCTGTTTCCGCACAGGGTTCACCGTCAGGGGTTTGTGCAGAGTGCGCTGCAGGACAAATATCCTGCTCACATCAAGTCCGTGGGCGACATACCTGCCCCGCCCAGTCTCCTCAAACTGTAAGCTCACGTTTCCAAAAACTCTACGTCAGCAACAAACGCAAGCACGCCAATTCCCTTTGCCACACTTCCATGTGTGGCCCGAGCTATTTATTCCTCGGGCCTACAGTACCCAAAACTTCACCGTAAGCTTCGGTGCTGACCTGGAGCAAGGCGAGATATGTACACCTAACACATAGGCATCAGTGAACGTATCTCCGCAACGTGGGATTATAAGGTAACATCCGGGCCTTTTCACGACGAGCTCGTCAGCTGCCCAAGCGTTCAATCTAGTGCGCTCGAGAACCCGCCCCTCTGTATAGGTTCCACCTAAACTGGGCAACGCAGCCAACCTTTACTATAGCATGCACGGATGGCTCGCATAAGTACAATGAGCACTCGCCCATTCTGTCAAAATTCTCCAAGTGCATCACTCCCAATTATGCACCGTGCCTCGCCATTTCATAAGAAGGTTCGGATGTAAACGCTGTTCTTCGTGCAAAAGCCTTCATTAAACCCACCAGTAGGCTTGGAGCCCCGCCGGAGGCGTGTCACACTGCAGTACACCTAAAGGAGACGTCAAGTAGACGACTCCGTCCCTTCCGTAAACACTCGAAGGACGATGATTACTGGTTGCCGTAGGGAGCGATGTGGCTCTATGTGTATATACATATACATTATCCGCAGACTCGGGGCTCCGGTGACGTTGGGCTGTGCACAATTGAAGATCCGGAAGCCAGATTAACCAGTCTGCTCGTAGTTTGCTAACAATAAAGGCATACAAGAACCTTGATGCGTAACATCATAGACAACTACCCAAGCAACCTCGGTTGTGATCCCAATAGCACGCCAACCTCATAACTCATCAGGACGCACTGACCGTCATCCAACGCTGCGAAGGTACCAACACGCGAACTGTCACTAGTCCTGCCTGAACTAAAAACCAACAAGTGCTTCCTTACAACCGAAACACAACCGAGTACAGGATATTCACCACTGGCCGGTTGCCGAATACTTACAGAGCACGCATCGCCGATGTTGTGGGAAAGTCTCCGTGAATTTACTCCATTTTTAACACCTTTTGTACGGGGTGCAAGGGCGACGATGCAACGATATATGAGAAAAGTGAAAACCAGAGCTGCCGCTAAAGTGGATAGTGCAAGGAGGCCCTGATTTCCTTGCCGTGCTTTTCGCGCCAAGGTGGCGTTGCCATGAGCATGCTGGTTACTGGCGAAATGATTCATCGAGGAAACCGATTGGTCTTCTGGTCCTTGCGGCCCGCCCATTGCCATTCCAATGGGGAGTGTAGAAACAAGAACGAGCAAACGAGAGAGGCACATTTTTGTGGTAGTGAACAAATGCCAACCTTTCGTAGCGCGAAATATGCACACGTAAGTGTTGAAATACGTAAAGCTTAGAACGGACAATGTACGCTTTTAAGAATGAGTTGGGAAAAAGTGTTTTATGGCAAGTACCAATGCTTGGCGTTGTCACGTCGGGCTCGTGCAACTGCCCGTATGACGCAGTCCTGAGACGACGTCGCGCGCGGAGACAGCGCTCAGCTGTCGCCACGGGTGCTGTCGTCAAAGTGCTCCGCATAATTCGGATTCATGTCACCTTCAATTAATACGAAAATTCTACGTCTTTACTTAATTTTAAATAGCGTCTATCCAATATCTCGCCGTACGTGCCTTCGACTACGATAGCCCAGTGGTGCACAAATTATCGTGCAGCCTACTGTGGGGCCAGCGAGTAGCCTCGGACCACACAGGAAAGAACGAATACGGGTCTACATTACTGCTGATGAGTGCTTTTAATGTGTATTGTTTATCATTATATCGTAATTGTGGCTCATATAAATGCTGCCGTTTAACGTTGCCGTTGTCTTCTGTGCCGGGATTCCTATTACTGTCTCTGACACCGGCTCGGCGAATGTCTGTCTCTGACACCGCCTCGGCGAGATCGGGGCGAAGAGTGCCCTCAGTTCAGGTCTTTTTCAATTTATAAATGTATGAAAAGACCAACTAAATGTATGAAGTCTACAAAAATTTTATCAGTACAGGGCACTGGCGTTGCTGTATGTTAGTGACGACTAACCGGATCGGCAGTGGCCGCTGCATCACCATGAGGGAACTACTGTAGTTGTTGATAACAAACGAAGTGGTGGAGTTCCAAGGTTCCCACTGTTCTGTCTCAATTTTAGCTCTGAGTTTTATTTATGTTGCACCCGACGTCTTATCATATTTGCCGCCCCTACTTGCCGCAGCTGCTGCCGTCACTTCTATTAGTGTGACTGCGGTCGCCCTTTCGGGAGTGGTTGAGGCTGCGGTTAGTCTGTTTGAGGAACCTGTGTCGCCATTTCGATGGCGTGGCTTTTCTTTGGAGTGCGTCTGCCTGAACTATGTGGTTCCAAAAGCCAGGTCAAGCATGTCCTTTTCGGCCGGCCGCAAGCGCCTGGAGCAGCGGGTGAGGAGGTGGCAAGCTTTTAGTTGCAATGAGCCTTGCTATGTCGCCAGGTGGAAGGCGGGTCTCCACACGAGCACAAACAATCTGTGTTGGCTGCATGTACTGCATGAACAATCCCCATAGAGAGCTGTTGGTCAATATCGCACCGATAATGCTAGGTACAGGGACTCTCGTATCATGCATGTAACAACTTCATACTGGTATGCCAACGTCTATAATACTCTGTAGCTGCACCTGTTGCTGCCGCTGTTGCTGATAAGCCACTGGTGCTGCACCGGCTGATGAACCTGGGCGAGGGTGGAAGCATTGTGCAGGGCCATGCTAATTTATGTCAAATAGGTGACCTGAAGGATTAGTTGGCGCAGCGTTCCACCTGAAAAGCTGAACATTAAGCGCATTGCAGTATAACACAGTGCACATCGGGGCGCGCCTCCATAACAGCTACTGTTACACCAAGGGGAAGCATGTGTTTGTCGCTTTCTCTTCAGTTCATCTCAGCCTCTTGTCTTTAACTGACAACACGGGGACACAGAAGACTGTGCACTTCCCAGGCTGGATAGTTGATATTTGTAGGACTGCACATCCAAGTATGAAAGAGGCTGAAGGAATAAATCGAAAGACGGTTGCCGTGTTTGCTCTCAGTTAATTACCTGTTCTGCATTCTTCGCTAGCCTGAAGTCTCAACACTTTCGCTTCTGCCGCGTCTTCTTCTCCCCCGTGGTCTTCCTCCCTGTTGTTGCTTTAATCGTTGGTCCTTGCATTTAGCACCCCCTTTTCGCTAGCAGCATATATTGTTTGTTTGCTTGCTTCGTTGGCGAATTCGCTACCGGTGACCGGCTTTGCCGCGTTTAGGGAGGTCTTCCCTGTCGCAGTACCCCACTACAACGTCCAACCCTACAATACAAAGCGGCTTTGCCGCGTTTAAGGAGGTCTTCCCTGTCGCAGTACCCCACTACAACCTCCAACCCTACAATACAACGCGTTGCATCTGTTGACCCTGTATGCAGCAGCTGTTGCTGTAGAGCAGCTCCCACACGTGCTGTAAATGCGACCGTCGCACCCGTACAATGATCTGATGCGGGTTAACTAAGTTTTTATGCCCTCCAGTTTGAAGCGTTGCCCTTTAGAGTGCCGAGAAAAAAAGCAACAGACGAGGACAAACAACTGGATTTTAGCCAGTTTGTCCTCCTTTGATGCCTGTTGTTCTTGCGGACAGGTATAGTATACATTCGCTACACGAGCACTACCAAATAGGGGCATAAGAATGTTACGGCAATAGAAATTCGGTTTCTGTTCACCAACGGGGGCACAGAGGTGAGTCTCATTTGGCACAACGATAAGCAAAACGCTGCAATCCCACAAGTCACCAGCCTACGTAGAAGAAGGCACAACAACGAAAGCATGGGCGAGGATCTGGGCAAACATGCGAGAAAATGGGTCGACAGACAAAACCAAGCAACGAACAAAGAGGCAAAAGGCGCTGACGCCCAAACTGTACTACGAATGGTTGGGGTGGAAACCGCGAAGACCTTACGCCTTAAAGCAACAGAGACAGCAACCCAAACCACTACAACTCAAAACATTAAATGACTTGTTTTGAGCAAAAAATAGGTGTTTAATAGGACGTATAGGCAGCTCAGAGTGTAACCCAGTTGCGAGCATGTATAGACAGCACGCAGCTTTCGGAGCCGAAGCACTCCTGCTGTATTGGCAGCTCGGAGTACACAGGGAGCTCATAGTGCACAAGCTGCCGAAACATTTATTCAAAATGAGCGGCAGATGTAACCGGGGTGTATATCCAGCTCCCGGTTCATCTGTGGCGATCCTGGGTGTATACACAATTGAGCTGCCCAACTGGTTGGGGAGTACGGCTGGTATGGTGTGTACAGGCACACGGGCGACTCGGCGGTACCAGCAGCTTGATAGCGTGTATAAGAAGTTGGCAGTTTTGGTGTCGCGGGAGGTTGCCGTAAAAAGCAGCTTCGGGTGTCTCGCCAGCTGCTGCTTTTAGGCCCATTTAGCCTTGAGGGCGTTTTTCTTTTGAGTGTAATCTGCTGCTGCTGCGGCGGCAACAAGAGCAACGAAGGCCAGCAGCAACGAGGAATAAGGAAAGGTGGAAGAAAGGGTATCAAACCCCTGAAACACAAATGAGACAAAACACACACAAAGGTGGATTAAAATAAAAAACGATACAAAAACGGCTGGCATAAACCAGTAGACAAGAGCAGGCAAAGAAACAGACGCCAAAGAGACCAAAGGAAGAAAAACTTGCTGCCGTGTGTTCTTTGTGTGTACTGTTTTTCGGCAGCAAGACGGGACAGACTAAAGGATTCACGCAGAAACAGAGACGAGGCAGATGAGGGAAAGACAAAGTGGATTACAGGATGGGTCAATGAATGACAAGATTAAAGGGGGCAACGAGAAAGGCGGCTAGAGAAAAGGAGACAGGAAGAGATAAAATACTACAAATGGAGCTCGGCGACGGCAGGGGGACATAGGCAGAGCAAGAGAAATAGAAGCTAAACAGGCAGAAAGAGTGGGACGACGCGAGGAGCAAGCCACTGAAGGGACTGAACACTACGTGAACAACAAAGGCCTAAACCCTAAACCCTAAACAGAGGCAGAGACCAGAAAGAGGGGAACAAAGAAAATGCACATCGAAAAGAGACGGGCGAAGAAGAGAGCATGCCAAACAAAAGTACAAAAAGCACAAAAGGAGAAGACGAGGGAGGAAACAAGAAGACACGAAGGAAAGCAATGGAGAGGACCCTAGGAGGCAGGTAGATGCCTGCAGCAGCAAGGGGAGGCAAACAAACAGAAATAATTTAAACAACAATGTAACGTACGCTTGCAGGCTGCACAGGAGAATAAAGAATGTCTAAACCAAAGGCAAAAACCAAAGAAGTCGACTCCCTCTCAGATGGGTGGGCAAGCACACCCCGCACTTGAGACACCTGCAGCGCAAGCCCTAAACTCCAATCCTCAACCCCTAGAACGCTACGCGGCTGCCAAGGAAATGGTGAACGTGACAGCGCCAATTAGCGGCGGAAACCCTCACAAACCCTGAACCCGAAACTCTAGACCATCGGGGGTTTTGCGTGTACACCCCGTGCACCAGTGGGGTTTACATGCAGGTCTGCTGCAATGTACGCAGCACAGCTGACCTTTCGTCCGTAGTAGAGACAGTCTAGGGGGTTTAGAGGAAGCAAAGGAGAGTACACAGGAATGTTGTCGGGTGTTGTTGCTGCTGTCGCAGCTTCCGGTCCTGAGGTACCTGCGGTTGCTGCTGCTGCCGCCGCTGCTGCAGCTGCAGCAGGCGGTAGCGGACGCTTTGCATTAGCCAAGCGGGTAGACAGCAGATGAATCTGCTGTGTACTGCTACTAGCCTACACAATGCAGCAGCAGCAACAACAACAGCAGTAACAACCCCAACTGCAGCAACTGCAGCAGCAGGCTCGTGTTTTACCTAATGGGCTTCCCGCAACAGCAAGCAGTCACTACACACTACACAATAGCGACTAATCGGCTGAGCTTCTGTGCCTCCCTATAGGCTTAAACCCCTATACCTAAACCCTAAAGCACCGTACACCCAATTTCCATAGCTCGAACCTGAGGGCGTACGACCAGCCAGTCCCAAGCCCTTTAACGCTAAACCCTAAACCCTCGGCCCTCATCCCCGATACGGGCTTGCCTCCGCCCCTGAATCCTAAACCCTAAACTCTAATCGCATCCTCACGAGGATCAAAGCCCTAGGGGTTATTCCTTGAGCCGTTGCTGTCAAAGCAGCTGCAGATACACTCCAAGGAAGGAGGTAACTTCGTGAGTCCCCTACAGGCCGCCCCAAACCAAATCCCGACTTGTGAGGGCTGCGACGCGCCGATGGGAATATCAAACCCAACGGCCCTGCGCACAAGCGCTAAACACTAAACCCTACACCATACACCCAAACCATACACACGAAAAGCTCTCAAACCCTGAATTATAAAACAAATATCAAACGCTCAGCCGTAAAGCCCCAAAACCCCTAGACTGCGATGCTTATGAGTTATGGTTTAGGGTTTAGCGTCGACCTGGGTCTGGTCTGTCTTCCGTAAGGGTGACAACCAGCAGCTCAAAACGCGCAGCAAAAATATTCCAAAAGTGTACGTACACCGAATCCTCGCACACCTGAAGCCGCCCCGAACCGTAAACCCTAAACCGTAAACGCTAAACAACCCCTGAAGAACCCTACGATGGCGGAGCGTTTCCCTCTGGACAACACCACCCCTTGGGAAGCGACACAAACATTCTGGGACCCCACTACGCTCGCACTCAACAAAACCTCATACCCTAAACCGTAAACCTCAAGCAAAACCCCCAAACCCTAGGACGTACGGCAACAAGGAGGGGCTTCGAGGCTCCTGCAGGGAGGACTTGTTGATGTGCGATTTCCCCCGACACGGCGTTCAGAAGGTGCAGCATTAGTGCGCCTCCTAAACCCTCCTGTAGTCACTCAAACCCTCAACCGTAAACCCTAAACCCTTAGCTCTTGCTGCGATGTCTGAGGAGCAGATGCCCTTAGAGCCAATTGGAGCTGATCCGGCTACCGTAAATCCCCGACCCTCCGACAACTGTTGGAGGTCGCAATTCCCATGCGAACAGCAACCGGGCTACAGACCTTCCAAAACCCTAACACCCTAAACCCTTCACCCTAAACCCTAAACCCTACTTACATCCGCAGTTACGACAGCAACGAGGTTTGGGTCAATGTGTTTATAGCCCACGGAGACATCCGCATGCACGAAGACAGGCACCTGCCGAAGCGATCGATGCATGGCGTTCGCTGTGGCTGCACGTAAACGCTAACCCCTAAACCCTAAGCCCTAAACAATGGAACATTCTGTGAAAAAAAGGCGGCAGACAGCAACGTCTTTGTGGCAGCTCGGAGGGTGCTCGGTTTGTGGTTTTGGGGATTGCACTGTGTGCAGCTCATGAGATATTTCGGGGGGGATTCGGGTTTGCACTGCAAGGATTAGGGTTTAGTGGGGATTAGGATTTAGGGTTTGGGGTTTAGGAACTAGGGTTCAGGGTCTCGCGAGTACTGAGAATGATCTGCTTTTGAGCTGAGAAGTCGAGAGACCAAGTTGCAAATGCCCCCATCTTCACCGTTCCCGCTGCACAAAAACACGCTAAACCCTAAATCCTAAACCCTAACCTCTAGACCGCACCATCCCACCCCTAGAACCAGCGCATTCAACTATCCCTAAAACTGTACGGCATATTGGTTCTGCTGGGACTTCGTCGCATAAAACCTAAACAATAAACCCTCACCGGCGGAGGGTTCCTTCGGTGAAGTTAGCGGCAAGACAGAAAACCCTTCAATCAACCCGCTGCAGTCGTCTGTGATGTAAAAGGAAACGCGGGAAGAAAGCAGGTGAGCCAACGGGAGTGGGATCTGCAACAAAAAAAAGCCTTAACCTTAAACCCTAAACACTAAATTTTGGGACAGGAAGCCGCTCCAAGCAGCACGCTCCATCACTATGAAGAAGCTGACCTCTTCTGTCACCGCCGCAGAAGGCGCGATCTGGTGCTGTGGCTCTGCGAGGTACAAGAGGAATTGCTGCTGCTGCTTCTGTTTCTGCTTCTGCTTCCCCAGCAACACAACGGCACTGCTGCTGTGTTGCAGCCGCTGCAGAAGCAAATCCGTTGTCTGGTTTTCGGCGCCAGCAACTGCTGCTGCGGCTGTTGCTGCTGCATCCTGCAGTTCCAGATGCTGCAGCGGGAGAATAGCAGCAGCGGCAAACTGGACTCGCTGCTGCTGCTGCAGCTCTCCTCTGCCTAGGTCGATCCAAAGCAGCTCTGTCTCCTGCAGCAGGGGCAACGCAACAAAAGAGACAGGGTTTACCTCGGGTGGGTTGGGTTCGCTGCTGCTCCTTCGCGCCTGCACCTGAGGCAGCAGCACCAACTGCAGCAGCACAAGCATCTGCAACAAGTCCAACAGCAGCAGAAGCAGCAAAATGATGGCCGCCCCACCTCTGTCTTTGAATTGATTAGTGCAGCAAAGACGGTCGCCTTATGGGGCCCGACGAGTTCAAGAGAAATCAGTTGCCAATCGCATGCATTCTGCTGCTGCTGCTGCTTAGCTACGTCTCTGCTGCAGCTGCCGCCAGATTTGCTCCAATTTGCTTTTCCGTTTGCTGCTGCGCGCGCGGCCAGGTGGCTGCTGCTGTTCTGCAGCTGACTTAAACAGCAGCAGCTCGTGCTGCTGCTGCTGCTGTTAGTGCTGCTGGGAAGTTGCAGCTGCCAGAGCAGCAAACCCGTGGCCGCGTGTAGCCCATACACCTGAGCAGTTTACCAGCGCTCAAACCCTATACCACAAAGCCTAAACCCTACGCCCTAACACCGGATTGGAACCGAAGAACATAGGGGCCCTTCCTCTGTTTCACGTATCCCTACAAGCCATGAACCCTAATCCCTCACAATTTATGCACTTTACCTTATTGTTGCAGTTGGCAGCAATGATTATATTCCTCCAGCCAAAGGGTTGGGCTTTTTGCCTCGTATGCATTTCTGCTGTAAGCTGCAGCAGCAGCTGCTGTTGCTGTTCGGTCTGCTGCTGCTGGTCCTGCTGCTGCAGCCCAAGAGCTTGTAACTTCGATGCTGCAGAGAGCCTAAAGTTGAAGAGAGGAGACAGGTTGGCACGGCTTGCTGCTGAACTCACAACACCTAAACCCTAAACCCTAAACCCTCACAACCCAGCGCAATCCCCCCTCCCCCCCTCCCCCCCTCCCTACACCACTACCACCACCTAACTGGACAGGAAACCCCAAGCCCTAAACCCTAAACCGCTAACCAGCGACTTCAGGTGGGATTTCCTGCCTCCCCAGAAGCGACGCAGCAAATCCTAAACCCTTGGACACGAGAGCAGACGCAGCGTCTGCAGCGGCGCCGCCTACAGCAGTTGCAATCGAAGCTGCTGTTGCTGCAGCCTCTTCTGCTGCTGTTACAGCAGCTGTTGCTGCAGCATGCATGAGACCCCGCGATGCAGCTGTTGCAGCCTCCATCTGTTCTTCTGTAGCAACACAAAGGGAGCAGGCCCAAGTTCTTTTTGAAGCGAACAGGCCCAAGTTCTCCAAGCATAAAGTTAGACTCCTACCGAGGGTTTAGGGCTTAGGATCAGGCTTACCGCTCTCTTGCACGGAAGGCAGAGCTCCGAGAGCAGCACTTGTGAGGAGACTCAAGCCCTCCTCCCGCAGCCAAGAGACACCCAAGTCCTTCTGCAGCAGCACCAGCGAGAAATCAGACAGCAACAGCAGCAGCTGCGGCTGCTGATGCTGTGCTGCACCAGCAAAAGCCAAAGCTGCAACTGCGCTGGGGCCCTGACAAGACACCCCAGTTGCTCGCCATGCTGCTGCTGCTGCTGCTGCTGTGGGCAGCTCCTCCCTGAAGACATCAACAAATGAAAATGGGGCTGCTGCTGCTCCTGCTGTTTTGGCGCTGCCGTTCTGCTGTTGCTGTTATTCTCCTGCTGCTGTTATGCTGCTGGCAAACACAAGTAAAGCAAACCCCAAAACGGCAAACAATAAACCCTCAACCCTAAACCCTAAATCCTCACCTAATGAAGGCGGTCTCTGCAAGGGTTTCAAGATTTAGCAACTTCGACTCAATAACTCCTTCAGAAACCTTCACTGCAACAACGTGCCTGAGCAGAGTCACCAACGAGCGTTTAGGGTTTAGGTTTTAGGTCGAGTTATTCAAACACATTTATGAAGCTACCGCTGGCGCTGCCGTGCGTGCAGTTGCAGCAGCTGCTGCTGCTGCTGCGCCGGCAGCGGCAGTGTCCGTGCGACGTCTGCGTTTCTGGAGGAGGAAGGGTGCGCTCCACGGTTTAGGTTTAGGGTTTAGAGTTACTGATAGGGTTTCTCCAGTCTCTGAGTCTCAAGAGGAGTCACTGCCCAGCCTCCACCGGACAAGCCCTAAACACAAACCGCAAACACAAACCCTAAACCCTGAACCCTACGCACTAAAGCGTGTGTTAATTTTTTGCAGCGTCGTGCAGTTATACGCATTGGAGATCCCAAACTGTCAATTTTAAAGCCTAAACCCTAAAGCCTATTTCGAGACCCACACGAATTTCGTCGTCGGTAAACCCTAAACCCTCCTTAAACCTCCAAACCGTGGACTGCACGAGTGCTGCACAGCCACCAAGTGGCAACAGGCTATGGTTTCCGGCCATAGGGTTTAGGGACTGAGGGTTTAGGGCTTGGAGAGCATCCAGTCCTCCCTGTTCTGTGAGCCGCAGCAAGTACACATGCTGCAAGGAGACACACAAACAGCAACCATCAAGGAGACTGACACTGCAGCAACGGCAGGAGTAACAGCAGCAGCAACAGCAGCACCAAAAACAACAGCAGCAACAAATACAACATCATCATCGGCAGCAGAGAGATAGGTAGTCACTGACAGAGACAAAAGGAACCCTCAGAAACCTCAAACGCTAAACCCTAAACCCTAAACAGTAGCTCACGGATTCACTCTTCAGCACGTAGCAATTGCTCCCAAGGGGCCTAATGGACAATGACTCGGAGGCGTCAACCTTCGCCTGCTGCTGCTGTTTCTGCTGCTGCTGTTTCTGCGGCTGTTGCTCCTGCTGCTGCCCGTCCCAAGCGTGGTAACAGCTGCTGCTGAGTTTGCCTCCTGGGGTTTGCTGCTGCAGCAGACAGAAGTTTGCCTGCTGTATCTCCCCTTCATTCTCCCGCTGCACAGAAACGAGGCCAAGATTTCTGCTGCTGCTGCTGCTGTTGCTGCTGCTGCTGCTGAGGGTCTGTGTCCACAAGACACGCCCTGACAAGGCATCGCGAGTCTCCAGACCCCGAGGCGTCATGCAAGCAACGAACACAGCTTCCGCTACTGCTGCTGTTGGTGCTGCTGGTGCTGATCCTGTTTTTGCTGCTCCTGGACTGGGGCCCGAGGTAGCAGCAGCAAAGCTGCTGATGTCCCCTCCCACCTTCCACAGCAAAACGCCATCTCTAAGGTCAATTGCATGCAGAGTACCCCCGAATTTTGCTGCTGTTGCTGCTGGTGCCTTTGTTGCTGTTGTGTCTGATGCTGCTACTGTTTTTGTTGTTGTTGGGTTTGTTGATACTGCTATCTCTGGGTCTGCTGCTGCTGTTTCTCCTGCATTTGCTGCTCTAGTTGGGTCTGCTGCTGCGTCTGCAACTGCTGCTGCAGATAAAGGGTGGTCTACATTCGCCAACAGCAGCAGTAGAGGCCCTATTTGCTGCTGTTGTTGCAGTTTCCACCCCTCACTCAGCACAAGTCGCCATCGCTGCTCTCCAGTAGCTGCACGTACACCTGAAACTGTTCCTGTTGCAGAAATGGTAACACCCGTCCAATCTGCTGCTGCTGCTGCTGGGTCTGCTGCTGCGGCTACTCTTGCCGTTGGTGGTGGGCCCAACAGCAACTGTTGCACTGGCCCTGCTGTCTGCAGCAGCCAAGCGTCAGTACCAACGTGTTGTGCTGCTGCTGCTATCTGCTTGAACAGCAGGAGCAGCAGCACAGAAAACGCAGGCCGAAGCAGCCGCTGCAGCTGCAGCGGCTGCAGCAGCTGCCGCAGCATCGGTGGGTCGAGAAGAAGGTTCTGCTGTAGTTGCTGCTGCCGTTGCTGTTGCTGCTGCGATTTCTGCTGCTACCCCTTACAGGGGCTTCACGCGCCTCAGACGATGCCAGACAGTAACCCCAAAGCCCTAGACCCTAACCCCCCAAGAATAACCCCAGACACCAGGTTTTACACCCATAAAAACAAAAGAAAAGAAGGGGATAGAGTATGACGTGGGTTTGTGTTAGTATGACTTCGTGTTTAGGGTTTAGGGTTTAGGGTTCAGCATGCGAGGCCTCGATGGCTGGGGGCCACAGCTCCTGTTGTCTTGAAACTATGTAAACCCTAAACCATAAACCTTAACAGTTAACAGTAAACACGAAATAGTAGGCATTATTGATTATCCTAGCTCACAACAACCGTCTATCTATTGCAGCGTGCCATAAACCTTAAAGGCTAAACCCTGAACCCTAGTCTGCCTACATGCCCCTGGTTTGTCCGTCATATATAACGAAGAACGTTAGCAAGGACTTTGGGTTTATAAAACCCTTGATTATGGTTTGATTCATCTAAAACAGTGTATGGCGAGCAGCTTCTATGGGTTCCGGTTACGGCGTATGTGCGCCTCTAGGGTTTAAGGTTTAGAGCAACCAGCGCAAAACTATCCTCATTAGCCTTTACTACCCTCATTAGGGTTTAATATCGTCTTTAGTGTTTACTATCCTCACCAAGTCCAAATTCCCTAAACCGTAAACCCTAACCCTAACCCGAACCTTACACAACGCAGACCCTAACGAGAGTTTAGTGGGCCTAGAGCAATCAAACACGAAACTAGGGTTTAGCTTGTCTAGAGTAAGCAGACCCTTGCAAGGATTTGTGGGCTTATAGGAAGAAGGAGGAGGAGAGCGAAAACCCTCCACAGATGCAAACCGTCGCAACGCTTTGCTTATCAATGCACCAAACATTAGGGTTTAGGCCGCCTTCAAGCAGCAGCAGGAAGAGCAGCGATAACAGCAACAAGTGCTGCTGTTGTTACTGCAGCATGGTGTCACTGCAGGGCCCTACTGAAGCTGCTTTGTTGGCTCTTCCCGCTGCAGCAAGACGGCAGTAGCAGCTGGTGCAGCAGGACCGCAGAAGGCACAGCAGCTGCTGCTGCAGGACCGCAGAAGGCACAAACAGCATCAGCTGTTTGTACCTGTATTGTGCTGCTCTTTACTTCCTCTATTTAAGGAATTTCTTTCTGTCCCTTCTTCTCTTTGCTGCTGCTGCTGATGCTGCTGTTTGCCTCCTTTTGCTCTTCTCCCTCCTTGTCTGTCTATACACACCTCTAAAGCCATCTTCAGGTGTATGTGCAGCTAAATAAAGGAGACAGTTAGCTGTATGTACACATAAATAAAGGAGCCACTAGGGTGTATATACGGCTAAATAAACAAGGAGACAACCAGCTTGATTGTATACAACTAAATAAAGGAGACAGTTAGGTATATATACACCTAAATAAAATTAACATTTTCCTTTGCCTTCCGCACCCAATATAGGCAGGAGGAGAAGAAGAAAAAAGAGAGAAAAGAAAGAAAAAAGAAGTAAATTGAATTATAATATAAAGGGGGAAATAATTAAGTTAATTAAAAGAGAAAAGAAAAAAGATACAACGAGACGAGGGCAAGAAAGGAGACACAAAGAGGGACACAAAGAGACAGAAAAAGAAGGAGAAAAACAAAAGGGAGACAAAAAACAAAGGGAGATTTCTGCAGCTGCTGCTGCAGCAGCAAAAGTCCCCTCAATCTCCAGCAACACCTTCCGCCTCCATCATTTCCAAATAGTGCTGCAGCAGCAGCAGCAGCAACAGCAGCAGCAACAGCAGAAAACACACAGTTTTCGGTGTTCAACACAAGGTCTACAACCCGCCGGCAACTGGGGTTTAGGGTTTACAGCAAATGCATCGAGCTCGTGATTAGGGTTTAGGGTTTTCGATGTCGTACAAGCAGGGTAGGCATCTAACTTCTACGGCCTAGGGCATAGGGTTTAGGGTTTAGGGTTTACTTGAAGGCCTTCTTTAGCAGAGCAGACGGCTCGGATCTTCCCGCTGAGTTGCTCAGCTATCCAAGTGTCATCTGTAGAGACACCGCAAACCCTAAACCCTCTAAACCCTAAACCGTTTAAACCGTAAACACCCTAGACCATAAACCCTCAGATGGAGAGGCTAGAGTTTCCAACTGGGGTTTGGGGTTTACAACCACGCTTGTTTAGGGTTTAGTATTTAGGGTTTGCAACCAGTTGAGGCTCTAGGGTTTACAAGAGTGTTAGTTGAGCTCGGTGCTAGGGTTTAGGGTTTAGGGTTTGCAGCGACGGTTTAGGGTTTACTTTCTACGTGGGCATGAGGCTGCAGCTGACGGATCATAGCCACCGCTCCACTTTGTGAGGAACAAAACATGACGCGCTGCAAGACAAACCCTAAACCCTCAACCCTAAACCCTAAAACCTAAACCCTAAACCCTTAACCATCGGCGGTACAAACACATATCCCTTGCTACCAAATTTCCATGGAGCTGTCGAACCCTAAACTCTAAACACCGAACCCTGAACTTGGGCTTTCTGCAGAAGGTGCTGCTGCTAAACCCTCAACCCTAAACCCTAAACCTTACATGCCGCATAAGTCCTGCATCGAAGGCGCCGCAATCTTCAAGCGCCTTAAGAATGCGTTGCTCTTCTTCATCCGAGTCAACCTGCGCCCAAACGCTGAACCCTAATCCCTAAACCCTAAAAGCCCAAACCCTAAACCCTGAAAACCCAAACCCTGAACCCCACAAGGAGAGGGAAACGTACCTTGAGGATTGTATAAACGTTGCAAGTTGCACAAAGACTCAAGAATGCCTCCAGCTGTTTGGAGATAATACTCAAATCTGCCGGGTCGAAGAGGGACTGTACATACACCGCAAACCCTAAACCGTAAACCCTAAACTCCCTGCTGCGTCCACACAACACCACAAACCCTAAACCCTAAACACTGCCAAGAGTACCTGTGGTCACCTTACCCCTCTGAGGTTCAAGGATAGCGACTTCTTCTTCCTACTGCAAAACATTACAAACACAAACCCTACACCATAAACACGGGTCACCTGCTGTCGGGCTTGCATGCAGGGACGAGTTGCTGCGGCAAACCCTAAACGCTAAACCCTAAACCCTCATGGCTCTCCTCTTCATATTCGCAGGGCAAGCTTATGAGCAGTTTTCCTGTGGCTACAGACTAATCTCACGGCTCTCCGACCTAGGGTTTAGGGTCTAGGGTTTAGGGTTTGCGTGCTTACTTCCTATATGGCTGCCGTCGTGGCCTTTCTGGAGCAGATAAGTAGTAGTAATGTACAAAACACCAGAGTAGGGTAAGCAAGAAAATTGCCAGGCCCCAAATCCCCCCTTCAAACATCCTCTAGACCCTAAACCCTAAACCCTAAACCTTCGAAACACCCGGGCCCAGTATGCCAAAGCAACGGGCTACACACAGGCGGAGTGGGAGCAGTGTGCTGAGAAGAAAGCTACCGGGAATGGGGTTTAGGGTTTACCGATAAGGGTTTAGGGTTTTGCGCATCGCAAGACAACACAACGACGACCAGCCAACGGAGACCCCTTCGATGCGAATAAGGGTTTAGCGGTTAGTGTTTAGGGTTTAGGGTTTTTTTCTTGTTTTTAACTGCACACAGGCCAAAAAAATAATAGTTAGGGTTTGTATAGAACCTAAATCCTAAACCCTAAAACCCACCTGCCGAGCACTTCGCAGGCTGTGGCTTCTGCAGCGCATGCACGAAACACAAACCCTAAACCCTAAACCCTAAACCCTACAATATACTTACAATACACTTACTTTGTGACAAGAAGAGAAAGCTCATATCTTCGGACTAAATGGCTGAGGGTTTAGGGTTTAGGGTTTAGTGTTCCTCTAGCGTCGTTCGCCTGTCCCTTGTACAGCTGAAACCCCAGGCCCGTCCATAAACCCTAAACCCTAAACCCTAAACAGAAATTCCTTGTCTCTCACGTGGCTGTGTGCGTCTATGTAGTGTCTCGCAGTCGCGAGTTCAGAGATCGCACTGAGTTTAGGGTTTAGGGTTTAGGGTTTGGGGTTTGTAGGGATGGCTTTACGTGTTGAGGGCGGCAAGAGTATTTCTTATAAATTAAAATCTCCTTTAGGCCGTCCTTTATACACCCCAAAGGGTAAACCCCACATCCTCTTTCCTTATGGAGCCAAGTATAGATCGCCCAACAGGCGTAAGCATAGGTGCTGCTGCTGCTGCTGCTACTGATGCTGTAGGGGTTGCTGCTGCTGCTGTTGCCTGCTGGTGTGTTTGTTGCTGTGGGAGGCTGCAAGTATAGCCGTCAAGTGACACAATCGTGCTTCTGCAGTTGCTGTTGTTGCTGCCATGGCTTTCGGGCTTATTAGGGTTTAGGGTTAAGGGTTTACGGCTTAGGGTTTAGGCTTTGTGGTTTCTGCAGCAAAATGGTGGGTAGGGCGGAGGTTAGCTTACCCCCATCACTCTCATCAGAAGGTATGGCTGCCTCCGTCTCTCTTGTCTATTGAATCTTTCGCCTTCCTGCAGCAGGAGCAGCAGTACCTGCTGCAGCAGCAGCAGCAGCAGCAGGAGGAAGAGCAGCAGCAGCAGCTGCCTCCGCAGCAGCAGGAGCAGCACAGGAAACAGCAGCAGCAGCAGGCCATACAAAGGAGGAAACAGCTGCTGCAGCAGCTACTTGACGCCGAGATAGCTGTAGCAGCAGCAGCAGCAGCACACCGCCGGCCTGTTCGGGCAGGTGTCGCTAGCAGCAGCGGCAGCAACAGCAGCAGAAGCAGCAGCAGCAGCAGCAACACCAGAGTGCAGGTAGGCAAATGGACCTACGATCCTTCTGCTGCTGCTGCTGCGCTGCAGCAGCAGCAAATCCTCCCGGAAGCAATGCATGCACTGCCGTTGCATGGTGTTGGCTGTTTGCTGTTTAGAGATAAAAGAAGCAGCAACAAGTTGCTGCAGCAGCAGCTGCAGCAGTACCACAGAAAATATAAGCAGCAACAGAAGCTAACAGCTAGGGGAGTTGTCTTACCCCCATCTCTAAGACCTGGCAGCAGCAACAGCAACCCCAGCAGCAGCAGCGACAGCAACAGCAGCAGTGACAGCAAAAGCAGCAGCAGCGACAGTAACAGCAACAGCAGCAGCGACGGCATCAGCAGCAACAGCAACAGCCGCAGCGACAGCATCAGCAGCAACAGCAGCACCAGCAACCACGTTCCTGCTGAGCATAAGCAGAAACCCTTAGGAAGGATGATGGCGTTTGTCCCAAGGGATGTTTGCTACAAGGTAGGGTTTAGTGTTTAGGGTTTGAGTTAACTGCAAGGGTTTACGGCCGAGGAGCTGAAGCCTTAGCGGTTCCTCTATTAGGGTTTAGGGTTTAGGGTTTGTGTTTCTGTACTCAGCATCGACCTTTCAAGGCACGAATTCTTGGGGATCTCTTGTCAATTCCTTCTCCTCGTCCTTCTGCTGCTGCTGCTGCAGGCAGCAGCAGCAGCAACAGCAGCAGCACTGCGGAGGCACCTCAAGAGAATGCGGCAGCAGCCGCTGCAGAGCCTGCGACCTCCCAGACAGCAGATGACAGAATCAGCAGCAACAGCAGCATCGCTGACTGCAGCAGCAACTCCAGAAGCAGCAGCAGCAGCAGCAGCAGCAGACCTTTTGTGTTCCGTCGTTGCTGCACTCCTGCTACTCTTAGCCTAGACTTCTGGTTTGCTGCTCCCCCTATTAATGGCAATAGATTTATTTATAAACCCTCTTTGTCCCTTTAAGGGTTTATATAAACCCTAGGGTTTATAAACCCTAGGGTTTATATAAACCCTAGGTGTATTTTAAGGGTTTTTAAATAAACCCTAGGGTTTATAAATAAACACCGTTTGTATTTTTAAGGGTTTGTCTACAAACCCTTTCGTGTTTATAAACCCTTCATTTCTTTTTTAGTGTTTACGCATAAACCCTAGGCGTAAACCCTTCCTATGTTTATTTAAGGGTTTAAGGGTTTATAAACCCTTTCTGTCTTTTTTAAGGGTTTAGGGGTCTAATAATAAACCCTTTTTGTCTCTTTTATGGTTTGCTTGTAAACCCTTTTTAAGGGTTTATTTGTAAACCCTTTTTGTCCCTTTTAAGGGTTTATAGACCCTAGGGTTTATAAACCCTAGGGTTTATAAATAAACCCTTTTTGTTAATTTAAGGGTTTATTTATAAACCCTTTTTGTCTGTTTAATAGTTTACGTATAAACCCTAATTAAAGAAACAAGAAAAAAACAATTGAGACAAATAAAGAGACAAATAAAGCGACAAATAAAAATAAAAGGATAAATAAATAAGGATAAAAAAGAAAAAAAAATAAAAATAAAAAGAAGATAATTATATTTTTTTGTCCCTTTTTTTTATATTAATTAATAGAGACAAAAAACGAGACAAGAAGGCAAGGAGATAAAGATAGACATATAAAGAGACAAATAAGGAGACAAATAATAAGAAGACAAATAAATAGACAGATAAAGACAAAGAAAAAAGAGGAAGAGATAAAGAGACAGATAAGGAGACACATAAGGAGACACATAAAGGAAAAGGAGACAAATAAAGAAAAAAGGAGACACATAAACAGGTACAGATAAGGGGACAACTGATGGATAAAGAAGACACAAAGAAGGAAAGACAGGAAACATTTAGTACAAGATGAAAAAAAGAAAGAGAAAGATAATACTATTAACTTTTTTGCTGCAGGTAACAGCAGCAGCATCAGCAACAGCAGCAGCGGGAGGAGCAGAGGGAGCAGCAGCAGGAGCAGCACCGGGAGACCAGAGCTTAGAGAGAAGAGATTAAAGCCTCAGCTCTAAACCCTAAACCCTAAACCCTAAACCCTCAATACATAGCAACTCGTGCCTGTTTGCATGTGCTGCTGTATCTCCTGAGACACCGCAGCAACACTGTCTTGCTGCTGAAGGCCGACAACAGCAGCAGCAGCAGCAGCAGCTACTGATGCTGATGCTGCAGCAGCAACAGACAACCCAATAAATCAATATAAATGGTTTCTTATTGTTTATAAATACTTGTTGCTGCTACTTCTTTTGCTGTCTGCTGCTGCGCAGAAGCTAAGCTGCTCGGTAGCAGGAACTGCAGCACCAGCAGCAGCAGCAGCAGCAACAACAGCAGCCGCAAGGGCGACAGCTGCTGCTGCTGCTGCAGACGCATGGACTTCTTTGGTGTTTCTTTTATTCCCTTTTAGCTGCTTTGTTTCCACATGTGAGTTTTGCTTGAAACTCTGTAGCTATTTGCTGCTGCTGCTGCTGCTGCTGTTGCTGCTGCTGTTGCTTTGCCGGCCCCAAACGCAAAACCCTAAACCCTAAACCCTTATCTGTGAGTTGTTGCTGCTGCTGCCTTTGCTGGGCAATTTAGAGCCAAGGAGACTCACTCTAGGTCTACGCAGCATTTGCTGCAGCAGGGTCTTCGCGCTGCGGCGGCAGCAGCAGCTGCTGCTGCTGCTGTCGTTACTGCTGCTGCTGCCCTGTACTGCAGCAGCAGCAAGGCCGAACCATAGGAGCGTCGCCCAAAGAAGCAACTGCCTCCTTTTTGTGCAGCATCCCCTGCAGCAGCTGCTGCAGCAACAGCAACAGGGGCAGCAGCACGGCCTCTTCCTGCCCTGCTGCACGATACCAGTAGAAGGCGGAGAGCAGCAGCCGCAGCATTGCTGCGAATCACACCATCAGTAGCAGCAGCAGCAGCACAGAGTTGCTGCTCCAGCATTTGTCCCGCAGGACTCGTACGACAGCATATATGCTGTATGGAGAAATAGCGGGAGCAGCAGCAGCAGCAGCAGCATGATGGAGTTAGCATCGTTATCAATAGGTTGGATATGTTTTTTTGTGTTATTTATAGCAGCAGTATGTGCTGCAGCATATTTGCTGCTGCAGGAGAAGTCCCGTAGCCAAGAGGGTCAGAATTTATTACAGGAAGCAGCAGCAGCAGCAGCAGCAGCAGATGATGATGATGCTACTGCATGCACAACAGCAGCACCAATAAAAGAGATGCAAGACTATGAGGACGCCCGTCACCAAATGTTTACTTTGCTGCTTGAGCAGCAGCTGGTGGATCCAGAGGAGGAGTATGACTATGGAGGAAACGAGAGCAGCAGCGGGAGCAGCAGCAGCAACAGCAGCAGCAACAGCAGCAACAGCAGCAAGTTGCTGCCGTGGCAGCAGCGGCTTCTAAGCCCAGAAGATAAAAAGAAATTAAAATTACTACTAATGAGGAGAGCATTAGCTAATGTACCTCGTTGGGTGTATGTATCCGGCGTAAGCAGCAGCAGGTATAGGCTGTATAGACATGGTTTGTTGCAGCAGCAAGCATGGGATTCTTTTGCTGCAGCACAAGCTGCAATTAATAAAGAACTTTCTTTTATTAAACAAGAAGCAGAGGCTATTGAGCAACAATGGGGAGAACATATACTAAGAGATACTGTGTTATTGCATAGACTAGGAGAGACACAAAAACAAAGAAATAAAATGCAACAACAGCAGCAACAGCAACAGCCACAGCAGCAACAGGGGCAAGACCAGCAACAGCCAGGAGTATGCCAGAAAAAACCTCAACCGATTGAATCACAGGTGCAGGAGAAACAGCAGCAAGAGCAACAGCAACAGATAAAACAGCAGCAGCCGCAACAGCAGCAGCAGAAGCAGCAGCAGGGAGGAACAGAACTAACAAGATCTAAATCTAATCAGCAGTGCAAGAAGAAGCAATAAGACACACATACAACCAGCAGCAGCAGCAGCAGCAGCAACTTGGGCCTCACTAGCAGTAATGTGGCAACATTTTGCTGCTGCTGCTGCTACTGCATTTTCTGCTGCAGCATTTGCTGCTGCAGCATAGGACTGTGCAAATAGATTGCAGTTGTTGCTGCAGCTCGTCGCTGCAGCATATGCTGCTGCAGCATTTGCTGCTGCACTGCAGCTATTCTTGCTGCAGCATCTGTTGCTGCAGCACCTGTTGCTGCAGCACATGTTGCTGCAGCGTCTGTTGCTGCAGGTGTTACTATAGCCATTTTTTCCCGCAGCAGTTGCTGCTGCAAGGAGGCAGCTGCAGCAGCAGATGGAGCAGGCTTTGCTGCTGCTGCTGCTGCTGCGAGGTTGCTGGCTTCTGCTCAGCGTCGCTAGTCGAGACAGTCACAGGCGCTGCTGCAGCAGCAGCAGCTGCCGCTGCTGCAGCTGCAGCACTTGCTGCTGCTGCTGCTGCAGCGCTTTGGATTTAAAGGACTCACACTGTTAAGAGCCTGTGTACTCCCTATCTGCTTCCCATGCAGCAGCAGCAGCAGCCAGAGGGCTGCTGTTGCTGTTGCTGCACTAGTTGCTGTTACTGCACTTACTGCCGTCGCTGCACTTGCTACTGCCACTCCTGCAGCTGCACTTGCTGCTGTTGCTGCACTTGGTGCAGCAGCAGGAGTGCTGCTCTTGCTGCACTTGCTGCCGTTGCTGCTCATGCTCTTGTTTACCTGTGCTGCTGTAGTGCTGCTAAGTTCTGCAGAACCAAGATACTGCCTAACCGCTGCAGCAGATGCTGCTGCTGCACCAACTACAGCAGCAGCAGCTGCTGCTGCAGCTGCTAAGATACGAGCAAGAGGCAATGAAGGATGAATACATTAAACAAAAAACCCTCGGCCACAACCCCCAGTCAAAGATATCAAAAAAACAGGGGGCTCCTCCCCCTCCCCCCCGGGGGGCCCCCCGCTAGTGGTGCCCCTCTAATAACATGGAGGGAGGGGCCCCCGGAGGCCCCCCTCAGAGGGCCCCCAAATAAAGGGTATCGACCAAGGAGGGCATTTAACGGTTGGGGACCTCCCCTGGGGGCCCCCCCTATAGGGGGACCCCCACTCTGTTGAGCCTCGCTTCCCGCTTGGGGGGCCCCCACCCCTTAAATGCCTGAGAGGGGGCCCCCCCTCCTTCAAGGGGGCCCTTCCACTTTACAAGGGGACCCCCCCAGCACTCGGGAGGCACCCAATAAGGACCCCAAGAATGGGGGCCCCCCCCCC